CGAAAAGCCGATCGTGAAATGTTTGCAATGTTTCCCTTTGCCTTAAGGCAGTATGCATCATCATCCAAGTTGAGTTCCAACGAGTTGGACAATCCAAATTAGGACCCAAAGCTTTTTTATTAACGGACTTACAAAATCGTTTATAATCATTTAGTCTTTTGTTGTTGTTACAAAGAACCGATTTTATCATTGTTTTAAATTCTAATCTAATCGGCTCAATAACCTCCAAACCGGCTTGCACGGATAAATTAATTATGTGTGCAACGCAACGGGTATGAAAAAATGCACCGTCTAAAATCGGTGAAAGTAATATTTTCAATCTTGGAACCGCGTTTGTATTATTCGATGCATTATCAAAGGATATAGAAAAAACTTTATTTTCTAATTTATAAAGACAAATTACCCTTTTTAAAAGTGTAAATAAATTAGCACCGGTATGCGGCTCACCGAATAATTCAAACGCGATTGTTCTTTTCATCATTTGCCAATTATCTTGATCTAACCAATGTGACGTAACGGCTAAAAAAGAATTTCCGGTATTATGAGGGGAACTCCAAACGTCACATGTAAATGACACACCATAACGGTGTTCTTGGAATCCTAAAATCATTTTTTCCCTCGTCGTACGCCACATTTTTATAGCATCTCTTCTAAGGGTAGTACGATTTACTTGAGTATAACGTGGTTGCATTAGTTGTTGAATTGTTGTCGTGAAATCTTCATCATCAAAGTGGTCGAACGGCAATGCTTTTGTAATCACGAACTTTGTAAACGCTTCTCGTAGTTTTTCGTTGTCGTAAACAAAAACACCACCTTGCGGTGTAAGATTCGATTGACTAGGATCCGATCTTGAGCGAAGTGCCTTGCATGATTTTGTCAAATGGTTCTTCAACGTTGTGTTTCCTTCCGATGCAAGAAACTTTAGACAAAGTTTACAACGCGCCCTCCTCGAGTCATTTGACATCTCACATAAATCATAGTGATCACAAATATCTTTGTTTCGAGTGTGTTCGATCACTCTCACGACTTCAAGGTTCCCCCGAAGGAAGATTCAGCCTTGTTACTCATGATGAACAAAAAATTACAAAAATAAGATTTGAGAGATGTTTAAGTGTTGTGTAATAAGATTTGAGAAAGTTGTAATCAACCAAATACATCTCCAACCTATTTATACATGTTTAGGGTGGTAAAATGGTAAATTTTTAAAGAAAAAAACGGTCACAAAACCCCCCAACGGCTATATTAACGGCTAGTTTTTTAAACCCATACCGGTTTTTTTCCCGGATAAAAACCGGTTTTTTAACCGGTAAAAAAACCGGTCTAGGTTTTTTTTCTCCAAACCGGTTAAAATAACCGGTTTAAAAAAACCCGATCCGGTTAAAAAAAAACCGGTTTTTCCAAATCCGGTTTCGGATATTTTTTTCGCAAAATCGGATATTCGGATTTTTTGTGCACCCCTACCTACAGGTGAGTCAATGATCGCCGACGATGGTGGTAATCGGAGTCGAAGTTGAAGATCTTGGGATATTCTATGACAAATAGGAAAAGTTGTTTTTTTTTAAATTTTTTAAATTTATTTTTTTAAATAAAGGAAATAAAAAAATAAGCCACATGTCAAATGTTGATTGTTGACTTAATTTTAACAAATTGTTTAACGGTCATTACTGCTAGGCACCTAAATGATAGTATTATAAATGTTCGACACCTAAATTGAGAAAAAAATATTTAGGTACCTAAATGAGAAAAGATGTATAGTTTGATCACTTATTTTTATATTAAGCCATTATTTATATATTATGTGTACATTTTTTTATTAATTTAAGGTAAATACAAGGTAGTTATGTATTCAAAGATAACTATTTGATATTCAACACTCATACTCCTAGTATTTATGGTACTCGAACCTGGAACCTCACAGATTAATAATTATTCTTGTATCACTGAAATCACTTGGTTCGTTTTATTATTTGTAAATTTATTCACACATAATACATTTTTTTTACAAAGACGTACCATTCCATAAAATCCAACTATTTAAATTAATTGTATAAAATTATTGTAAACTTGTCCAAGGATTAAATTACTAGTTAATAATGAAAATAATCTTTTTTTGAAAAAAATATTATTTTAAATTATTTAATTATAAAAGTTTAAAAAGAAAATATAATTAAATTACTATCCATATCGCCCCAGTACATAGGTATGCCTAAATTATGGTTTCACATGATTTTTACTCGAGAAAATAACTTGAGTGACCGAAAATACTTTATAATATACGATTTTAACCAATTTTTTCTGGATTTGCAAAAATAACCAACGAATTCGCAACTCGATTTCGAATTCGCAACACGAAAGTCAAATTTGCAACACAATTTTCGAATTCGCAACAAGAATTTACATTTCGCAACACGAATTTGCCAAATTCGTAATTCAATTTTCAAATTTGCAACTCGAATTCGGATTTCGCAACTCGAATTTAGATTTCGCAACTCGAATTCAGATTTTGCAACTCAATTTTATCAAGTTTACCTATATATTATAAACAAATGCTTTGATGTAAGTTGCAGAATTTAAGTTACATATTGTAACAAAATGACAAAAAAAGGAAAAGAAATTTCAAAATAATAATTTTAATATATTTTTAATAATATCATGTATATATTTTTAAATTCAATTATTAACAAAATCAGTAAAAAATGATCGAAAAATATCATTATTTTGACCGATTATAATTACTTATATAGGTATACTCAATAAAATTGAGTTGCGAAATTGGCGAATTCGAATTGTGAAATCCGAATTCGAGTTCCAAATTTGAAAATTGAGTTGCACAACTCGAATTCGTCAATTTCGCAACTCAATTTTACTGCGTTTACCTATATAAGTAACTATAAACCAATCCTTTGATGTAAGTTGCAGAATTTAAGTTACATATTGTAACAAAATGACAAAAAAAGAAAAAGAAATTTCAAAATAATAATTTTAATATTTTTTTAATAATATAATGTATATATTTTTAAATTGAATTATTAACAAAACCGGTAAAAAATGGTCGAAAACATCATTATTTTGACCTGTTATAATTACCTATATAGGTAAACGCGGTAAAATTTACTTGCTAAATTGGCGAATTCGAGTTGCGAAAACTGAATTCGAGTTACGAATTTGAAAACTGAGTTGCGAATTTGGCAAATTCTTGTTGCGAATTCGAAAACTGTGTTGCGAATTTGGCTTTCGTGTTGCGAATTCGAAATCGAGTTGTGAATTCGTTGGTTATTTTTGCAAATCCAGAAAAAGTTGGTTAAAATCGTTTATTATAAGTCATTTTTGGTCACTCAAGTTATTTTCTCTTTTTACTCTAACGTCTCTAAAAACTAAATGACTTAATTATAAAATAAGTGTTGAAACTATAGTGCTTTTTATGAATAGGTGCCTACAGTATTTTTTGAATGATATTGGTGTTTAAAGTTACAAACGTTACCACTTTAAGTGTTCTGATCGAAAACACCGTTAATTTTCCCCTTAAGTGACACGTGTCATATTCTAGTAATTTAAAATTTTTGTTTTAAAATTAAAAAATTAAAATTATATATTTAAAAAAAACATACACAAAAAATTTGAAATGACCTCAAAACTTTGAAAAGATTCATTTAAACCTCTAAACCCGCGCCGACCACCGCCCTTTGCCGTCGACAAAGCTCACCCGACCTCACCTACCCCCATTGATCAGTACCCGTATGAAATCGTGACTGATCGACAGCCAACTAACGTTTGTACCCCATTAACCCTAAGATGAAATTCGCGATTCCACGTGATTTCGACAGTCAATCGGTGACAACTACGACGGTGTATGACTAGGAGGATGGCAGGAAATAAGTCGGATGCAGTGTCGCGACCAAAAAGGACGGTGGCAACATGTTAGTCATATGATTTTTATGAATTTGGATTTTTCTTCTTCTTGTAATTCAAGAGAAATAATGATTCTTTTATAAATATAATAATATTTTTATTTTAAAAAATAAAAATTACCATACGGTGAAATGTGTCACTTAACAGAAAAAACTAACGGTGGTTACGGCTCGAGCACCTATAATGATAACGTTTGTAACGTTAGACATCAGGATCATTCAAAAAATATTGTAGGCACATATTCGTAAAAATAAGTATAATTTAGGAACTTATTTTATAATTAAGCCAAAATAAATTAACGATTAAAGTCTACTAAAACTTATTCTATTATACTAAAAAAACTTATTTTAGTTTTTTACTATTAAAAGGAAACTTTGGTCTCTATACTTTTGGAAATTAAATATTTCAATTCAATATTATGTCTATAGTTAGTTGAGTCAATTTTAAGTTTACATATCCTTTAGATTCATATCAATTACGAAATTAAGTGAATCGATTCTTCTAATAAATAGTAGTTTAATGGTCGATTCTTCTAATATAAGGGAATTCGAATATTTTAGTGGCCCGACCGCACCCCCAACACCCTGTCGGTACATCCCTCTTTGAAGTTATGTAGTGAATTGTTGCTCTTCTAGATGAAGCTTGGTATAATATTGTTCTTTCATGTATTTGCTTCAAAATTTTGCTACTTCTTCTCAAAGTAAATTTATCTGTAATTCATTACAAAACTTCTGTTTAAGCTTCTAGTTGATGAAAAGCATAATTACCGTCTTGTTAATTACATTTTATTTATTTTTCAGTATGTTCCCAAAATCTACTCATGAAACTTTTGCAAACAAGCTTTATCAGACGTTTAAGAACCACAAGAAATTCATTAAGCCGAAATTGTCTCGCACTGATTTCATCATTGCTCATTATTCTGGAGACGTATGTTCCATTAGCAAAGTGTTTATGGGTAAATAGCTGGAGCTGGTTTGTCACTTTTGATTTCTAACAAAATTCCTTTTCAGGTCCTATACCAATCTGAACAATTTCTGGACAAAAACAAGGATTATGTGGTTCCTGAACATCAAGACTTGTTGAGTGCTTCCAATGTTCGTTTGTAGCGGGCCTTTTCCCTCCACTTCCAGAAGAAACATCAAAATCATCCAAGTTTTCCTCAATCGGTTCTCGTTTTAAGGTAGTTTTGCTCTATGTTTGTCTTCATGATTTTGGTCGAGTCCCTTTCTATCAACTGAAATCATCTTTTACACTGCCTCATATAACTTGTTATATACTGTAAGAACTTGTGCATTAACACTTCCTTGATAAATGATGCTGTAGCTACAACTACAATCTTTAATGGACACATTAAATTCTACGGAACCTCACTACATCCGATGTGTATAGCCGAACAACCAACTTAAACCTGCTATATTTGAGAATGTCAATGTCATGCAACAACTTCGCTGCGGCGTGAGTGCAGATTTCTTATTTTATGATTCGATTAGAACTGGTTTGTAAAAACTATCTTTTCTTGTTGCTTAGATGTTTTCCTTTTAACTAGAAGTTGGTCTTGTAGGGTGTTCTAGAGGCAATCAGAATCAGTATGGCCGGATATCCAACTCGAAGACCTTTCTTTGAATTCATTAACCGATTTGGGCTTCTTTTTCCGGAGGCTTTGGAAGGAAAGTAAGTGATCTCTTCTTGTTTAAAATCAAGATTAACAGTCATGAAAGTGATGTAATTCTGTTTGACAGTGGATGTTGGAGTTAAGACTTTACTGCTGCACTCTGCTGATTACAATTAAAAACTAATGTCAATGCTCTTAACATTGGTTTTATCTGTAAGCAGCTACGATGAAAAGGTTGTGTGCCAAAAGATTTTGGACAAGGCCGGACTTCAAGGATATCAGGTAATACAACAATTTTAATGCAACCACTGGAACTGTTCTAACATTTGGCATATGTCCTTTAGCATCTTCCCTATATGCTTTAGGAACCGAAAATTGTTACATTGGTACTTTGTATTTGTAATATTGTAGTAAGGAAGAAACACTAATTGACCTCAAAATGGTTTTTGCAGATAGGCATAACAAAGGTCTTTCTAAGAGCTGGTCAGATGGCAGAACTGGATGCAAAGAGGGCAGAAGTACTAAACTCTGCTGCCAAAATCATACAGCATACCATTTTCAGTTGATGACCTATCAAAGTCAATGGAACAAATAGACATCGCAGACATCGAACCACCGCCACTCATTCGTGAGAACATAGGCTTTAGTTTCTTACTGCCACGTTCGGATTAATCCAACCGGGATATCTTCTCCGTATCTCTTCATCTCTTCTTCCAAGTTCCGGCATTGTTAACGAGAATGATTCTTAAGGCGTTGGATAATCTTTCTTTAACATCAGAAATATTTGTCAGAAACTTTCCTTTCCACATAATAGGTCATTGATTCAAAGCATAGCATAGTTGTCTTAAATTTCGAGTTTTGTTGTACCATTACCTCCATCCATTTTGTCAATGGAAAATAATTAAAGCAGATAACCATTTCTGGATCGAGGGGATTAACAGACCGGTTGTCCTTTCTAAATATTTTAAATTCTCATATAATTTAGATATTTATTTTGTATTTTTTAAATATAATTTATTTTTGTCTTTAAAATTTTATAAATACGCAGTCAAGATATTAAAATGAGATGACCAACCCAAAACACATGCATGCCTAATTTAACCAAGCAAGATACCCTTCAAACAAAATGTAACTTTATCTTGTTTGGCTAGAGAGGAGGAGATTATTCCTTACATGGCTTCATTAAAGATTTTTTCTTTGAAATAATCATAAAAGGATTTGATAGGAGGAGGTAGGTCGAATTTTTAACCACGACGATCTAATCTAATATGTTCATTTATAAATCTAATCCGATTCAATTTTAAATTAAATATTAATTTATTTATGTCAAATTTGACTCTAAAAATTAGAATGTTGAAAAATTTAAGGATGAATTTTGAATAAGAGACATAGTTTGGGATAAGATTAGAACATTCAAAAGTTTATGGACTAATTTTGAATGAGAGACAAAGTTTATAGATGAAATTAGAATTTTCAAAAGTTTAAGAACCAATTTATAATAAGATCATACTTTGAGGACTTATGGTGAAATTAACTCAAATTTTGTCCATCTTTAACAAAATTGAGTTAAAAAAAGGTTACGTATTTAGTCACTTAACTATTACTTTGGTTCTGTTTGATCACCTAATTATTTTTTTAAATAAACACTAATCTTACGTTTTTGTTTCATTTTGGTTATCTACTTTAAAAAATTAATAGTGACGTTGACAAGTTACTATAAGATAATATCATATTATCTTTGGAAAAAAATATAAAATATTACATTAGCAGTTCTTTAATTTTCTAATGGAGTGACCATAAAATTAAAACGTAACGTTAGTGATGATTTTGAGAAAAATAGTTGAGTGACCAAAATAGAATCAAAGTTATAGTTGGATGACTAAATACGTAGTTTACCCAAAAAAAATTAGTACGATTAAAATTTCCAGAAAGGGCTTATAATCCGACCAGGTAACAACGTCGTTTTGCTTTTCTTCTCTGGCGCTACTGGTTCAAGAGATTATCAATTAGGGTGCGTTTGGTTCACGAAATGTAAGATTACCAGTGAATAGAATTACTAAGAATGTTACATTACTGTGTTTGGTTGGTTTGACAGGAATGTAAGATTATAGTGTTTGGCTAAAAGAATAAAAGATTACTGAATTGTATATTTTACCAAATTGTCTTTGTTCTATATTTTTTAACAAGTGAAATTCTAAATATTTAAATAAAAATTATTTATATAAAAATATTTTTGATAATATATTACTTGAGTATTTAAATATATCATGTATTATTTAATTTTAATTAATATTAAATTTTGCATAATTATGTAAAAATATATTAAAATTTTACATCAACATTTAACTAAATGTTTATATTGTGAAAATTCTTCATAGATATTCATAATAATAAAAAAATATAAATTATTTTTGTTTTCTAAGATATAATGTTTATTATATATTCTATATACAATAATTTATTTATTTATTTATCTTTTATATTTATACTTAATTCTGCATACTTTATCATTATTATTTATCTCATTAATTTATATTACAAAAACATAATTCAAATAAGTAAGAAATTAAATTTATTCGAACTCAAATCACATAAAAATTAGTTTCCCAGAAAGTAACGACCATAACTAAATAACCAAACAATTTACTGCTACTTGACACAGACTTGCTTCATGCCCTTTTGGCGAAATCACTTCTATTGGTTCGTTTGAGTCGAATGCTTCTCCTCCCTCCTTGAAGCCATCTTCAGCACTACCGAATTGATCACTACCATCAAATCCCATATTCTGGCTTCCATATCCAGCAGGACCTCCGGTGGCAACGTCACCAGCAGCAGCATTGAAATTCCCACCATCGAAATTGGTTGCAGCAGATTGATCAAAACCACCATAATTTCCTTGGCCTCCATAGTTACCACCACCGTATCCAGCATTACCTCCATAACTTCTAGATGAGGGACTGGCATTTCTATTGATCAAAACAAGCTGTTGTATCAACCTGCCAAGAACATTCACAATTGATGAAGATATTCTTTACATTTTATTTTTCCCTTTATACTTTCTTATCACAGTAACATGAAGTTGGTAAGATGCACTAGGTTGATAGTAACATCGACAACGATGACGATATAATCAATTTATGATGATATACAACATTTCTAGCATGCACAATTACAATCTAAAGTGATGTTGAACTCTGTTTTCTTTAATCAGTTTAAAAGGGGGGGAAACAGTTGCATGATCCAAGTAATAAACCGAACCATTAGGGAGTGAGCTAGCATCAAAATAGAAAACCAAAAACAATTTTCCGATATTTAAAGAACACGAGCCTCGAGCGGAAGCAGGATGTATTGAAAGCTCTTCAATTGAGAGCCACATGAATAGAATAAGACAATTACTACTAAACACAAATGATATGCTGAAAGATAACATAACAGATTTCAACTTTAAAGCTAGTAATGAACTTTCGAAACTAATTCCACTCAATCCTTAAGGCATCTATTACTCATCTCTTTGGTTTCACATTTTAAGAACTTGCCATCCTCAAGGATTCATCAAAAATGGCAGCTTTTAAGTTTCGAATTTGACAAAGCAATGAAGGATCCCACAAACATGTTTTGTATATGTTTCCAATGTTATTATGATCATCGCTTCGTCCAAGCACAAGCTAGCATAGTCAGAAAACATGCCTTCAATAAGATAACGAACGAGTCTACCGGAGAATAAATCATCGACAGAGACTTAGGCTAAGAATCGTCGAACCATCAAATAACAACAGTTTAGTACAATCAATCCCAATAGTCTTAGAGAGAGCTAAGTTTCAAGCCTCTGACAAATTCGACGTCCATGTAGTTTGATAAATTGAAAAACTAAATGCAGAACGAATTGGACCACCTAGAAAGACAATAGAGTGGCAGATACGAGTATATTTTCATGGTTGGTCGTGAAGGATAGAGCTGTTGAAATGCAAGCATGATCAATTATCACCAAAAACACCATTAAAATAACGTTTCTTCAAACAGATAATAAGCAGGAATGAGTTAATTAGCTTACCAATGGAGGTTGAATCATTCTATCCATGCTTTTCCTAGCTGACTTGCAAAAAAAACCAAATTTCACCCCAGAATCAAGCCCTATTTCTCAATCATCGTTCTTCGACCCAACAAACATAAACTACAAATCACAAATTTCACTTTCGTCATCATTCAACATACAAAGTTTTCCATTTTTAAAACAAAAAGCTCAGAGATCTACACAGAACAAGAAACCAGAGTCAGCTTAAAAAAGATCAGAATTTGCAGTATGAAGCGAAGCTGAAATTTCTTTTCAAAAACCAAACAAACCCAGCATCTGAAACAGAAAACCCAGATACAAAAACCTCATAAAACAACCAGCCATGGTCTCAAAAGGGAGAAAACATAACCCCCAGAATCTTAAAACCAAGAAATGGCGAAAGAGAAGAAGAAATAAAAACTTAAAATGCGAGACAGCACGAAAGGGAGAGGAGAAGATATCTTACCCGAAGAACAATGAATTTTTCGCAGAGGCAAGCTCACGGGGAGAAGAAGATATCACGTAAACGGAAAAAGAAAGGTATTTTAGCTCCACACGAGAATAAAATAATACCTAATATGTGTATGAAAATAACATTCCCATAAATAAACACACAATATTTACTGTTTAAAAAAATATTACATTTACTTGATAATTATATCTAACTAAATATGGGTATCTTTGGTTAGGAAAAAAATACAATCCTAAAATACTTGATCCAAACGGGCCCTTACTGCACTGGAAAAGAAAACCCGCTGGAATTCATGATGGAAACTTTCAATAATTCCAAACCAATTTTGCTTTTTCTTTTATTACCATGTTCGCTTCTCTACAGTTTTATTGCATTCAATTCCTCTTCTGTCGAAGCTGCTATGCATACTAACAACTGGGCTGTCTTAGTTTGCACCTCCTGTTTCTGGTAATAAAAACCTCACTTTGTATACTTTGTTCTATATTTCCCTGATTTTTTTTCTTTTCATTGAATTTTAGGATCAAATGAAATATACCCATGTTTTTTTGGGGGATAATTAAGATAACACCCTCCCCCTCACACACACACACAAATTTTTTGTATTGATTGGATTTCTAGCTACATTTGTTTGAACCAAATCTGAATTTGAGAGAATATAGGTGCTCTCTTAGATGCTATTTTGATATGTAATTCATTTGAGCGTTTGAACTCTGTGCCTCTGTTTTATTACTCAGATTCACCCCTCAAACTAGTGGTAATAGCAGCTTCCCATTGTTATTGTCTAGCAGCTTTCTCCTTTTTGTTTGTGCTGGGGAGGTATTCCCCATATGATGATTTCCAAAATGTTTGAGGGTTAATATAGATTTTGGTGAATGCTTTTCTGCTTCTGGTTCATCAATAGAAATGCAAATGCAAGTTCCATATGTTGTAATGGAAGTGGTCTGGTCTTGCTCCTGTATAAAATTTATTGTCCCTTGCTCTCTTTTTTGTTATAACAGAGAAGGTTAATTTCCCTTTTCTCATTGCACTTGGTCAGCTAAAACATAGAAGTATTAATTTTGCTAATTTTGGTCAATTTCCCTTTTCTCCTTTTTGTTCGTTCTGAAATTGTTGATTGAATTAATTTTCGTGATTGTTTCTCGTTCAGGTTTAACTATCGTCATATGGCCAACACCTTATCCTTGTACAGGTAACCAAACAGTTGTTTATTTTTCTTTCCTGCTATAATTCAAACTTTTTTGGTTAATTTTTTCCTTGACATGGATTTTCAGGACAGTTAAGCGGCTAGGAATACCTGATGAGAGGATAATACTCATGCTTGCAGATGACATGGCCTGCAACACTAGAAACAAGTATCCTGCTCAAGTTTTCAACAACGAGAACCATAGACTTAACCTTTATGGAGATAATGTTGAGGTTAGATCTTTCTAACCAATTATTAATTTGGCTTATTTGTGCATGCATATGTGGGGTGGGGAGGCGGGGGTTCATCGGGGATAGTAGTTTGGTCTAGCCTAATGTTGACATGCATGGTGCTAGACTTTGATTATCTTAGGTTTCCATTCTGTGTATTGTTGCATATTGTGCTTGAAGTGTTCTTTTAGTTATTTTTCTGTTCTTTTGATCAACCCTAATTTATCCAAATTGCCATCACTCAGGTAGATTATCGAGGTTATGAAGTACAGTGGAAAACTTTTTGCGTGTTTTAACTGGACGTCATGAGACTGCTGTTCCAAGATCAAAGCGACCTTGAGTGATGAAGGCAGTCACATTCTTCTTTATATGACAGGGCATGGAGGAGATAAATTTTTAAAGTTTCAAGACTCAGAGGAACTACAGAGTCATGATTTAGCTGATGCTGTGAAACAGATGAAAGAAAAGCACAGGTTAGAAAATTTTATGCTTATAACTCCTGTTCTTTTGAGTCATGATTTAGCTGATGCTGTGAAACAGATGAAAGAAAAGCACAGGTCATGAAGAAATGTACCTGTCCCAATTTCCTTGTAGTTCTTGGAAAAATCTCACATAACATAGAATTTTGAAGTATAGGGTAGATAACTAGCGGAATTTGCCTTTTTTGTGAGGACTACCTTTTTACAGTTACTGTTGGTGTCATGGACTCAAAATTGTGTCTGGGCTTGTTTCATGTTTCTCTTTATATGCACCTTCCTGATGGTCTATAGTTGTAACTTCTATGTAAAAATGGACTCGTGTGGTTGATGATGCTGCAAATTCAGATTTAAGGAGTTGTTGATAATGGTGGACACTTGTCAAGCAGCCACTCTCTTCAATCAGGTTTCTATCTGCACCAAAATAGAGCTTTACTTCTCCAAATATTACATTATTTAGTTTTTAGCCATAAATGCATGCATTTCCCAAAGGAATGTTGCTCTTCAATCATCTGTTTATGTACAAAATGCGTATATATGTTAAAAGATTCAATTTTCTTCTAACTCTAAATAGATTCATTGCACTATTTAATATTGATATGTTATTGGTGTGGATTCATTACTGTCATTTTGCACCATGGAATCACATTATAACCCTGCTCCCGATCAACACATTTCTCATACATCTGCATCTTTTTTACATCTTTCGAAAATTTGTGAGCAGTATGTCTAATCTATTCAAATTATTGCCCGGGAAGCATTCCTCTTCATTTGTTTCATCGGTGTTCACTGATATTCTTGTTTTGGTGCAATTCTGAACTATTTTTGTTTACTTATAGATGAGACATTTTGAAACTTCTATGTTTGTAGGCAATATAATGTGTGTTATCTGATAGCTGATCTGATGCAAAATTGATGATCTTTGCTCTCTATTTTGCGGCTTCAGTCCCCTGGTGTTTTGGCTATCGGAAGTAGCATGAAAGGAGAGAACTCGTACTCACATCACTTGGATTCTGATGTAAGTGATTGAAGGAAATTGTTTTATCATTTTAGCACCCTTTAAATTGCTGTCTCAGAAGGGGAAAAAATGCCATGTATTTATGAATATATTACCCAAGTGGTATAGGGTTTTTGGTAGGTTGCCTTCCTGGTTACACAAACTTGTTATTGTTCTTATTCAATTCTTCATTTAGCGCAGGTTGGTGTATCTGTTGTTGATCGCTTCACCTATTATACCCTTGCTTTCTTTGAGAGGCTAAATATATACGACAATGCCTCATTGAGCAGGTACATCAGCTTTATAATAATAATAGTATAACCATATTTGTTCTTGCACTGAGGTGTCTTAAAATCATTAATGAGCTTTTCTTGTCAGGTAATTTAAAAAAAAACCAATTGAAGTTTTTAATTCTCATCCATTTAAGTTGGCATTTCTTTTTGACATTTTTACCGCTTCCTTGAAGCATTTTCATCTCTAAAAAGTGAACTCTGGTTTTCTGGTTATTTTGCAGTCTTTTTAGTTCTTACAATCCAAGTTTGTTGATGTCTACTGCCTACTACCGCAAAGATCCATACAAACGGAATTTGGAGGAGGTATTGAGGTCCCAAATCTGTTTTCTAATTTTCTTTCCTCTATACGGCTTTCAGTGATTGTTCTCTGTACTTCCCTAATATTTTTGTGATGAAGCTTTAAGGCTACGTGCCTGTAACTGTTAACGAGCTTCTCATTATCAGCTATATGCTCGGGTTGGCAAATCTAGCGTTGCACCATGAGAAGAGTGCAAAATTTCAAACTTCCTCCTATCAAATCTGTATCTTTTACTGCCTTTATTATTGTTGGTACTGTTTTCAATGTTATTATGATGAACTGCTATGCATAATACCAAACATCGAAGCATTGTATAACCAAGTTGATTTCTCTCTAGGTACCTGTAACAAACTTCTTTGGGTCGGTGATGGAAACGATACATACTGATGCAGCCTACAAAGCCCTTTCAAGGATAAATTCTGGCAGGTTTGAAGCCCAAACATCTTTGGATCAGTCAGTGCACCACATCGAGAGAAGAATGCCGATGAAAGTAAATGATCAAGAAGAAACTCACAACATAATCCCTGAGGTGATTGTTTCCACCCTTCCCTTGTGCAGTTATCTACTTGCTTTAATCTCTATGTAACTTGTACCTTACGGCAGGGAAACAAGCAACTATTGCAGGGTGAAGAAGGTGCTTCAAAATGTCCATGGAGTACTTTCTGCAACAAGTTTCGAAAGGGCGAAAATGTGGATATATTGGTGAACTATGGCTTGGTAGCAATGATTCCTTTGTTGGTGATTTTGACATGGCTGGTTCAGTGATTTCTCTTATTACACTTTCTAACAAAAGGACTGTATTTGCTAGCTTTGGTATGTCTTTTCTTTTTGACAACTACAATCCATGCTAGACAGAAATGCTTCTTTTCTTGGTGGTTTCAACATGGCTGGTTCATTGATCTCGAGTCATCGTTACAAACAAAAGGATGATTCTCTGAGTTGTATTTGGTATAAATATATATGAATTCGAACCCTTTATTTCGGTACATGCATGATTCGAACCCGACATAAAAGCACGAGAGCATGAAGAACAATCAACTTGTAGTTTTTTTTTTAAATAAGCAAGAACCGAAAATATAGTTTGCAGAATGGCAAGTACGAGCAGGAGAGTGGCTGCTGCAATGGAAGTGAGAACCCAATCCCAGGGGGTGTTGAAATATGTCTGCCTCAGTTTCACCTTCCATAGGTTCCATCGTTGTCTGCAATGCTTGTTCGTCTCGTAGAATATGTCGGAGTAATAGAATCGGTGGATAGATAAACGTAATTGTTGATCTTGTTAATCATGCTGGCGACATCTTCGTTGCTACCCAGCCGATTGTCGATTACCCTGCAGTCGCAGAGCAAAGCAACATCAGCGGGGTAGTTGATGAGGCAGTCTATGAATCTAGCATAATCCATAACGATGCTCCCTGATTTATCTTTGAATTGTTCGTAAGCAATGAGGTTCCGCATCATTCTCTCTGTATCGTGGTCAACTATCAAGGTTGGAATATACAGTGTTCCATGTTTGAACTGGATGTCAAACAAGAAATTTTCCTCTCCTGCCGGAACTTGATTCCTCGTTCTGACAGCTCTATCGCCGAACTTATGAAATCACATTCTCCATACCCTAACCGTGTATGGTGGCTACGCTTTTCCTCGAGGACCGGATGCTTCTGATCCTCCTGCTCTAATGTAATGAGATGAAACGTTTGCAGATAGCCTGAGTGGAACTGGATCCAATTATCGTGCACCAAGCCGAGTAGATAAAGTCATCATCTCTCTTTTTATACAGCATACGTAATCGTAAATCTGTTTCGGAGAAGAAATTAAGAGCCTTTCTTGCAAAAGTATCCCCGCCCATCCCGGTCATATCAGCGAACTTTTCCAATAGACACAAAGGAAATTGATTTTCAAGCAGTAACAAATCTAGTGCCACAAAAGATAGATTCAAATTCTGCTTGAACAGGGAATCGTTTGATTCTCTCAGTGTAGGATCCATGAATTTGCTAATGAGTTGAACAACAAACAATAGGTCGACGACCATAATCCCCCCGAACTCTGCAGAGCTCATAGCGGAATCATCGTGTTCGGCATAGCAATTGCGAACTTCTTGTTCTATGGACATATAGGCCACGATGCAGTTTTCCAAGCCATCAGAGCATCGTTGGAGAAGGCTACTTAAATAACCAACTTTGAGCGTTTCCATTGCCTTCAAATGATACTTTCCGTGGTGGTACGGTCCTATGGAGATGATCTGCGGTTCGAAGGCTCCTTCATTTACCCGGCGCAGCTCACGAGGCGCCCTGAAAATGAACGACAATGTCAAAGACATTGTCTTCACCTTCGACTCCGTCGAAACTTCGCCCAGCTTTGAGTCCAGAATCTCCCTAACAGAAGTTTCTGTATCCCTTCCTAACATTTGCTTAACAAGCGTAGGTATAGGTGGCATATCTGATCCGAGTTGAAATAGGAGGGTGAAAGATTGGGCTATTTATGGTTACGAACAACAGATAAGAAAAACACTGCTGAAGTAAATTAAGCAGACACTCCTTTGTACTGTGTAAACAAGCTGAGTTGAGTTCGAGTATTGTTTAGCTCGACTCGACTAGAAAAGTTTAAAATTGAGCTCGACTTGAAAGTTCGCAAGCTTAAAATTTTCAAGCTCAACTCGTGCTCAAGAAAACTTGAACTCGAAACATTCTCAGATTTAACTTGATTGAAGCACAAACTCGAGCTCCATTCACTTGAGTTTAAACCTGAACCTTAAGTATATGAAAATTTTATATTGTATTCTTTATAAATAAAAATAACATATAAATGTTAATATTATTAATAATTTAATTTAAAAATTAAAAATATATATTATTTTTTTCGAATTATTCACAAGCTTTTTGTATATGGTATCAAGTAGTTCATTTTGACTTGTTAAGAACTTGAGTCAAGTTCAAGTTCAAGCTCGAGTCGAGTCCATTCAATTTGAATATTGATCGAGCTTTGCCCGAATCGAACTCGAATAGCTCGCAATTAATCTCGTTTCATTTACAGCCCTTTCTTTTATGTCTAATATTTGCTCTATATCGAGGTCGACTACCATTGTTGGAACATACAGTATTCCATATTCGAACTTGATGTTTACATGTCCTCGTCTAATATCCCAAAGAACCTGATTCCACCATCCAAAAGCTGCGCTGCCGAGCTTATGAAACCGCATTCTGGCCGCCGTATGCGGCGGGGCTTTACTTTACAGCTTAGATGTTGAAAAATAAACAAGTGGCCAAGCCACTTTCGGTGGCAGCCACCAATTTTGTCAAAAATGGTTGGCTATTTGTTGAAAATCAACAATGGTAAAATCTCAATTTTAGTCATTGTAATTTAGGGTATTTACAAATTAGTCCTTAAGCTTCAACTATAAATACCCTAGCTCATTTAGCTTCAAAACCATCCCAAAGCATTCTAGCTTTCTTCCAATACTAGAGAGATTTTAGAGAGTTTCTTGAGAGTTGTTTTCTCCTTTTTATCTAGAGAGATTTATCATTGTTTTCTCCTTGGTAGATCGAGAGAGGTTGTAATTCCTATTTTCTCATAGTGAAATTCTTCTACCGTTGCCCGTGGTTTTTACCCTATATTATTCAGGGGTTTTCCACGTAAATTTTGTGTCTCTTTTATCTTCATTTTTATTTTCTCAAATTATCAGTTGCGATTTTGCTCTATCCGATAGCCGTCTTCCGCAACAATTGGTATCAGAGCTAGATTAGAGTGTGTAATATCTGCTTATTGTCTTTGTGGTTGCCACCAAAAGGTGGATTCTCCAACATAAGAAAGTAAGAAGTTATTACCCATTCTTTGAAGGTTCCAGAGAACTATTCACGATAGTGAAATAGTGAGAGCCATCCGTAAACGAAGCAATGGCAACGAAATTTGATATTGAAAAGTTCAATGGGAGAAATTTCTCATTGTGGAAATTGAAGATGAAGGCCATCTAAGGAAAGACGGGTGTCTAGCGGCTATCAATGAAAGGCCGGTGGATTTCGCAGATGACATCAAATGGAACGAGATGGACGGGAATGCTATGGCAAACTTTCATCTAGCATTAGCAGATGAAGTATTGTCAAGCATCGAGGAGAAGAAGACATCTAAGGAGATATGAGATCATCTCATCAAATTGTATGAGGCCACATCGCTGCACAATAAAATTTTCCTTAAGAGGAAATTGTACACTCTCCGTATGCCAGAATCTACTTCAGTGACGGAGCAGTTAAATACACTGAACACCTTATTTTCTCAGCTTACATCCTTAAGCTGTAAAATAGGAGAACAAGAACGTGCTGAACTTCTACTTCAAAGTCTACCAGATTCGTACGATCAAATCATCATCAACTTGACAAACAGTAATGTCACCAGTCTAGTCTTCGATGACGTTGCAGCTGCTGTTCTACAAGAAGAAAATCGACGCAAGAACAAGGAAGACAGACAAGTAAATCTGCAAAAAGAAGAAGCGTTGACAACGATGAGAGGGAGATCAACAGAACGTGGCCAAAGCAGCAGTCATAAACATGATAGATCGAAGTCGAGGAGCAAGAAGAATTTAAAGTGCTACCACTGTGGAAAGAAGGGTCACTTGAAGAAGGATTGTTAGAGTCTAAATAAAAACTCCAATCCACAAGGCAATACCGCAAACACTTCAGATGATGGAGATGCTCTATGCTGTGAAGCGTCAACCACCGTGGAAGGCAGAAAAAGATTTGCAGATATATGGCTCATTGATTCGGGAGCGACATATCACATGACCTCAATAAGAGAATGGTTCCATCATTATGAACCTGTCTCAGGAGGATCAGTGTATAGTTGCAATGATCATGCCTTAGAGATTGTTGGTGTGGGAACCATCAAATTGAAGATGTATGATGGAACAATTAAAGTTGTTCGAGATGTGCGGCACGTGAATGAAGAAAAATTTATTATCCTACGGATTGTTGGATAATAATGCTAGCAAGATTGAAACACGAAAAGGAATCATGAAGGTGTTCCGTGGAGCGCTTGTGGTGCTGAAAGGTGAAAAGATAGTTGCAAACTTGTACATGCTGAAGGGAGAGACATTGCTAGAAGCAGAAGCCTCTGTTGCCTCATGTAGTTCAGATTCTGCAATGCTATGGCATAAGAAACTTGGACACATGTCAGAACAAGGAATGAAAGTCCTTGTGGAGCAAAAGCTACTTCTAGGCTTAACAAAGGTATCACTTCCTTTGTGTGAGCATTGCATAACAAGTAAGCATCACCGGTTGAAATTCAACACATCAAATTCTAGAGGCAAAAGTGTTCTAGAATTGGTTCACTCTGACGTATGGCAAGCACCAGTAACGTCCCTAGGTGGAGCAAAATACTTTGTCTCATTTATTGATGACTACTCCAGGAGATGTTGGGTGCACCCTATTAAGAAGAAGTCAGACGTGTTTTCAACTTTCAAAAACTTCAAAGCGCGGGTGGAACTTGATTCTGGAAATAAGATCAAGTATTTCAGAACAGATAATGGAGGAGAATACACAAGCGAAGAATTTGATGACTTTTGCAGGAAAGAATGCATCAAAAGACAGTTCACAGTGGCGAACACTCCTCAACAAAATGGAGTGGCAGAGAGGATGAACATAACCTTGTTAAAAAGAACAAGAGAAATGTTGAGGGACGCAGGCCTAGAAAAATCATTCTGGGCAGAAGCAGTCAATACTGCCTGTTATTTGGTGAATCGAGCTCCATCAACTGCAATAGAGCTGAAGACACCAATGGAGATGTGGACTGGTAAACCAGTTGATTATTCAAACCTCCATGTATTTGGAAGTATTGTGTACGTGATGTACAACGCCCAAGAAATTTCAAAGCTGGATCCAAAATCCAGAAAATACAAATTCTTGGGGTATGCTGATGGAGTAAAGGGGTATCGCTTGTGGGATCCCACTGCCCGCAAAGTGATCATTAGCAGGGATGTTATCTTTGTAGAAGATAAGCTACAAAGAAAAGAAGACAATGAAAGCGCTGAAAAGTCAGAGACTACACATATACATGTAGAAAAGGAGTTTGAACAAGGAGATTCTTCTGAAGCAGAACCAGCACATGATGAACAAGAACCAGAGAGTTCTGAAGCTCCAACAACTCGTTAATCAGATCGTGTGAGAAGACGTCCCAATTGGCACTCAGATTATGTTATAGAAGGAAATGTTGCATACTGTCTTTTAATAGAGGACGGTGAGCCATCAACATATCAGGAGGCAATAAACAGCTCAGATGCTTCACTGTGGATGATGGCGATGCAAGAAGAAATCGAAGCCCTTCATAAAAATAATACATGGGACCTTGTGCCACTACCACAAGGAATGAAGCCAATTGGTAACAAATGGGTTTTCAAAATCAAGCAAAATGGTGACGATCAAGTGGAGAGGTATCGTGCAAGACTGGTGGTCAAAGGATATGCTCAGAAAGAAGGTATTGATTTCAATGAAATTTTTTCTCCTGTGGTTCGACTAACAACAGTTCGAGTAGTCTTGGCAATGTGTGCTACATTGAATTTACATCTGGAACAGCTAGATGTTAAAACAGCTTTTCTTCATGGAAATCTTGAAGAAGAGATTTATATGCTCCAGCCTGAAGGTTTTGAAGAAGACGAAAAGAAGAACTTGGTTTGCAGGTTGAACAAATCTCTGTACGGTTTAAAGCAGGCGCCGAGGTGTTGGTATAAGAGATTTGATTCCTTCATTATGTGCATTGGATACAACAGACTTAATGCAGACCCTTGTGCTTATTTCAAGAGGTCTGGTGATAACGATTTTGTTATATTGCTTTTGTATGTGGATGACATGTTGGTTGCAGGACCCAACAAAGATCATATTGAAGAATTGAAGGCACAACTGGCTAAGGAATTTGAAATGAAGGACTTGGGATCAGCAAACAAGATTCTAGGGATGCAAATTCACCGAGACAGAAGTAATAGGAAGATTTGGCTTTCACAAAAGAATTACTTGAAGAAAATCTTGTCACGATTTAGCATGCAAGATTGTAAGCCAATTTCTACCCCTCTTCCTATTAACTTCAAATTATCCTCCAGTATGAGTCCTAGCAGTGAAGAAGAGAGGATGGAGATGTCTCGAGTACCATATGCATCAGCAGTGGGAAGTTTAATTTCGCTATGATATGTACAAGACCAGACATTGCACAAGCAGTGGGAGTGGTTAGTCGGTACATGGCGAATCCAGGCAAAGAGCATTGGAATACAGTAAAGAGGATCCTGAAATACATCAAAGGGACCTCAAATGTTGCATTATGTTACGGAGGATCAAACTTACTAATCAATGGGTATGTAGATTCTGACTATGTAGGGGATTTGGATAAAAGCAAATCTACAACGGGATATGTGTTCAAAGTTGTTGATAGAGCTGTAAGCTGGGTTTCTAAGTTGCAGTCAGTTGTGGCTACATCCACAACAAAAGCAGAATATGTAGCAGCTACACAAGCCAGTTAAGAAGCAATTTGGTTGAAGATGTTATTGGAGGAGCTTGGGCACAATCAAGAGTATATCTCTCTGTTTTGTGACAGTCAAAGCGTCTTGCATCTAGCAAGGAATCCATCATTTCATTCAAGGACAAAACACATACGAGTTCAATACCATTTCATTCGTGAAAAGGTGGAAGAATGGACAGTAGATATGCAAAAGATCCATACCAAAGACAACATAGCAGATTTCATGACAAAGGCGATCAACGCTGATAAATTTACTTGGTGTCGATCCTCTTGTGGCCTGTCAGAGACATAAGCAACATGATGGTACAATGTAGAAAGAATTGTGTGAAGATATGATTGTTCCAATCAAATCTTCAAGTGGGAGATTGTTGAAAAATAAACAAGTGGCCAAGCCACTTTCGGTGGCAGCCACCAATTTTGTCAAAAATGGTTGGCTATTTGTTGAAAATCAACAATGGTAAAATCTCAATTTTAGTCATTGTAATTTAGGATATTTACAAATTAGTCCTTAAGCTTCAACTATAAATACCCTAGCTCATTTAGCTTCAAAACCATCCCAAACCCATTCTAGCTTTCTTCCAATACTAGAGAGATTTTAGAGAGTTTCTTGAGAGTTGTTTTCTCCTTGGTAGATCAAGAGAGGTTGTAATTCCTATGTTCTCATAGTTTTATCTTCATTTTTATTTTCTCAAATTATCAGTTGCGATTTTGCTCTATCCGATAGCCGTCTTCCGCAACATTAGATACTCCATAATTTGCTTCACGGAATAGATGTTGCATGCCCACTTGCGTCTAATACAGTGGTGGTCGATTAATCCAAATATGATGCACTATTCCTAGTACATGTTCTTTATTTGGACAATGTATCACTTACTTTCAAAACATGTCGATAGAATAAGTTAAGTTCGACTCATCGACCGTCCACGAATTTTTTTTATTTAAGTTGAAAGTCATAATCTGTTAAAAACATTGCCTTTAGATTTTTTGTAGAGGAATAATGTTGAGGAACTTATAAATAAGGAGAAGAAAAATGAGAAGAAGCCTCTTTCGCTCATAGTTTGAGGGATTTATAGTAGTTATCATTATAGTTATTCGTAGACTGACAAGTTAAATGAATTTAATTGTCAGATTCAAATCTTAAGATTTCGCAGCAATAGATTGTTTAGACTTGTGAAAATTTTTGTCTAAAGGTCTTATTCACATATTCGGAAGCCAATAGAATATTATATACAGATGAATAAGAAAACCAGGCATAAAAAAAACAAATAACCATATACTAAAAGGACTAATGAAATAAATTGCATCAAAAATCCGAAAGCAACTATAACCATAATACCCTTTACCAAAAGGGTGAATCGCTTCTTGTAAACTGAAAATGGGCTGAGCCTAAAATCTCAGGTTTGAACATACAGTAGATATTTGGGCTTGGGTTTGAAAACCTTAACCGACGCAAATGGCAACTGAATCAGGCATGAACTTGAGCCAGACCAGGCCATCGTGTTTCTTTTCATTTTTAAAGAAAAAAACATCTCCTGAATAACAATCAACTCTTTCATGCTTTTAACCGCAAAAAGGTTGACCATCGACCAAAGTTTCAAGGCAAGAACAAGGGGATTCCGGGGGAAAGAAGAAGAAGAAGAAGAAGAAGCGATTGCAGAAGACAATGATTCGATATAAAGAGGTACAATCTGACACCAACATTCTTACACTTTGTTGTTTAACAATTACTGCTTTTTTTAATAAAATGTTGACTACCCAGTTTATGGATTTAGGAAAAAGAAGCAAAGAAGGAAGCTTTTAGAAAGTATCTGGAGTCCAGTGGTGTTCTTGATGCTCTCACCAAAGGTTTTGTGACTTTGTTTTTGAACATATAGTCTTCTTTGCTTGATCTGGGTTTTATTTTCTTTAATTCATTTCATTATCTGCAGTTTTGGTTGCATTGTATGAACAGAATGAGAAGCCTTCCTCAGCCCTTGAGTAACTTACTCAATTCAATCTTTCAAATTGAACTTCTGTTTCTCTTTGTTTAAGCTATATAATTCAGATCTAGACAGGGAAAATTTAAAGTTGTCGTATACTTTAGATATTCCTTTTGTATATTTTATTGATAAATTTTATAAGTTCACAAATTTTTGAGTTCATCCTCTAGAATAGAATTCTATATCCGTCTTTGAATCTAGGGTCGGATTTCGAATCTCAATATCTTCAATACCTAGAAAATTTCTTGTTTTGAACCATTTGTTCATATGGGATTATTATTATGATGATGATGATAGGTTTGTGCAACAAAAATTAGGAGGTCCAACTGCATCTGAATATGAAAAACTACAAGCTGAGATATCAGATTTGCAGACAAAGTATAATGAGCTTTTGGCCAAGCATCAGCATACATGCAAAGAGGTAAGGACTATGGACATAGTTTTGATTTATTTGGAAAAGGTAGCATTTTGCACTATATGATGCATTTCATTCTCAGCACTCTGCGTATATGATTTTTTTCATATTCTGATATGTCCGAATGAGCGTTGACGGTTTGGTGCCGATGATCGGACTTTCGTAATGTTTTCCATTTTCAGTTTAATTTTGATCCGAATCAAGTTCTTTACTGCAAGTTATCTGAGATGTTTTCATGGTGGGGCAGTTACAGGAACTCAAGAATCCGGACTCTTCGCCGTCGTCTGCGAAAGAGACGGTGGATGGAGAGCCTTTGAAGGCTGAGGTCTGAGCTTAAGAACCAGTTCTTCATGGTGTTGTGCGCTTTACATGTTATAGTATATGTACAAAGTTTAACCACTTATTGACTATATAATCCATTTCTTTTGTTATTGTGGATGAAATATTTGTACATTTCAACATGGATATTATTGATATATGGAGGTATTAATATTTGTACATTTCCACTTAAAAGTTATCACCAAATACATTTTAAATTATTATTAATTGTATAATTTTTTAAAGTAGATATATAACATTTTAAATTAAAACCCGCTACAATATGATATTCTTAATTATAATTGAAATTATTACTAATTATATAATTTTTTAAATTATTTAGAATAACATTTTAACTTAAAATTCATCGTAAATTAACGGCCAAAACTATCATATGAAATGGTTTCCATAATTTCTTATATTTTAGAATTTAATTTAAATATTTTTTTTATTAACACCATAAATTTATAATTTATTATATTCTAAAATTTTATTAATACCATCATAATTTTTTAACTTGACCTAATGGTTAGGCGTTGGATCTCCTCTTTAAGGTCCCTAAATTGATCTTCATCAAAATCGTATATAATTTTTTCAATTTTTATCAATAAGATGATGACATATGTTGTCATTTTATTATAATATTGTATTAATTTATTAAGAAAAATAATGGGTAACCAACAAAAGTTGGTTCAAGTGGTATGCATTTTTATATCACTTAAGCGGGTTTTGATTTCGAGTATTGTGTATATAGAAAATCTCCGCTGGAAGATTACCCACTAAAATTAGGTGTGCAACATGGTCAGTCCGGATTAGCCCGGACATGAGACATAAGTTGTTTTTAAAAACGAGTTAAAAGTGTAGTGATGACCAAAATGCAAATGATCTGTAAGTTTGGAGACTAGTAGTGTTCATCATTTATATTTTATAACAAGATTTAAGTTATTTTTCTAAATAAATATTTTCCTTTACTAATAATTTATTTTTTATATTAAATTTTTTATATTTATTAAATGTATTATCATATATAACATTATTGGATATTAGGAAAAAAAAGTTCTAAAAACCCTAAAAACAAAATAAACTAAAAGTTTATGAAGATATCTATGAACAGTCATCCAACAATAGTCAATCATCTCACCTTCCAAACTTTCATCCGACGGTCAATATTACGCGGCCCCAAAATCATAAGAAAACAAAAACCATAGAAGAAAATGAAAAACAAAATCCAAAAAAAAATATAAACAATAAAATTAAATAAAAAATTTGCAGAGATTTTCCTCTCTCTCTCTAAAAGCTCGAAAAAAATAGAAAAACCAATGGAACGAAATGAAGCCCAACAACACTACTTCACCACCAACACCCCCACCACTGTCAACACCACTCCGTCACCGACTAATGGCCTCCTGCCGCCCAACGAGAGTGGCGGAGCCCTCCATCTCATGGTGTACCCTCACTCCGTGCCCCCGGCGGTGACGTCGCCCCTGGAGCCCGCCAGGCGGAAGAGAGGGCGGCCTAGGAAGTATGGTACCCCCGAACAGGCCATGGCCGCTAAGAAAACGGCGTCTTCGACCTCGAAGGAGCGGAGAGAGCAGCAGCAGCTGCAGCAGTTGGCTCTTGGTGGCGCCTGTGCTGCGCTTTCTGGGTCTTCCAGGAAATCTCAGTTGCTTGGCTTAGGTGGGGTTTTTTTGGGTGAAAAAGTTGATTATTTTTGGGTACCTTAAATTCGAGGGTTTGGGTGGGTTGGAACTGTTGCAAAATTATTGAAAACTGAGAGGGTTTTTTTGGTGCATTGCGATGGGAAATCACTATCTCTATGTGAAATCTTCTTTTGGTACCTTTTCGTGAAATTCGAAAAGCTTTTGTTGCAAATTTGTTTGAAATGAGACAGTATTTTGATGCATTACGTGAGAAGCGAATGCCTTTGTTAGCTGTGGTTGGGGTATATTCTTTCGTAAAATATTCATTCCTTTTTGTGTTGAAAATTTGTTGAAATTGTGAGTGTTCTGGGTGTATTGCTTATGAATCATTTCCTTTGTTTGCCCCTGGTGTGTGCTCTTTGAAAATTACTTTTTCTATTTTCTTTTATAGTTTTCTTGAAAAATAGTTATCTGGTGGTAAGGTTTTTGATGTTTTGAAATTTTTGGGAAGATTTTTGATGCCTTTGTTTGAGTGAATCCCACTTGCCTCCTATGACTTTTGTTTGAGTTGTTTAATTTTATAGAACTTTTAGTTTATGGTTTACCTTTAGGTTTTCAATCAATTTACGGTTTTGATTTTGTATTTTCACTTGGCTTATTTATTCTGTTCCTGCTTTGTTTTAGGTTGTAAAATGATTTTAAAGAATAAATAATTGTACACTCAAATTCTTTAACACATGAACAAGAGGGAAAAAGGAAACCTTCATTTTTTTGTCAAGTTAGATTATAACCTTGTGTATATTTATTGCATATCAAATTCATCAATACATCAAATGAGTGTGCTGGAGTAGGTCTCTTCTAGAACAGTACAAAGCTAAGATACTGGCAGAAAGATGCATATGCTTCGTTATCCTTCTTCTCGGTTGATTCAGAATTTCATGTTTATTTATTTGCATCATTTATGAATGCCCTTTCCTGCATTCTAACATTGCATGGTTCGTGCGGTTGTGTGCTTTTTGGTACCTTTGTTCTCTAGTAGGTCGAGTTATCATTTACTTTTATTTGGTTTGGAGTCTCAATTAGATGCTTAGTTCTCACCCCTTCACTCTAATTGGTGCAGGCAATGCTGTTCAAGGTTTTACTCCACATGTTATCAATGTAGTTGCAGGAGAGGTATGGTACTTATTACTGTTATAAAGTTTACTAATGCTTTATATATGTGTTGACATCGGTTCTACATGATCTTGGGATTCACGTATGCCAATTGCTGCGCTTTTAAATTTATATAATCTGTTAGAAATCCTTCACGTCCAATCATTTTCAAAAATTGTGTTCTTTTTTTTGTTAAAGAAATTTGTCATAGTTTTCCATTTTTTTCACACCTTAAAGAAAGGTTTTGAGGTATTGTTCAGTTTATAAAATGTCTCATTGGTTTTGCCTCATCTCTAGATAATAGTGTATGTTAAGTATGGAATAGAAGTGCTTTAGTAGAGGACAAAATTGTCAAAGAAAAGAAAATTTGAGAAATCACCAATGGCAGAAAACTATAAATGAGAAAGTTTGGTGTGTAACTCTCTGTTTCTGATATAAAATCCTTAAAAATTTCCAAGGTTATGATGTTTTATTTCAAGCAAGCTGAGTCCAAGATAGCCATTGTGGGAAGTTTGATAAATCATGACGATATTTGTGATGTTTCCTGTTGTGTTTCATTTTTTATTTGGATTTTCCCGTTTGTAGTTGATAGTTTTATAAGGGATGGCAGTTAAGGCATTTAGCATTTGCAATAGTTTGCAGCATTATTATTACTTTTTTTCTGATCCCACCTTTTGCATCGATTTATGTAATCTTTTTCCTTTTGAAAGGATACATGAATACTTTTACGTTGACATTTGAGAGAAATTTTCTATTTTTGAGGAGATACTAGTGTTTTGACTGAGTCAATGCTTATTAAACTGGATTGATAATTGGTTATCACAAGAAGAGTGGAAAGAAAGGGAAAATATTTCAGTCCTCTCTCTCTCTCTCTGAATTGGAGATGAGGCACCTATATGTGCCTTCACTCATTTGACTGATCCAACACAGAAAGGGAAATATATCGTGGTTACATTTAGTCATCTGCTTTACTTTTCTGGCAAGTTGAGTAATGCCATGTTTGTTTTCTTTTTGTAATCCTTTTGCCAATAATGGGAAGTTTGTGCACATTAATCGGCCACCTCTGTGAAAGAAGCCCTTATCCATTTGTGCCCAACTTGCTATTGTTGCTGTTAAAAATTGTGCTTTTTTGATCAAAGATATTGTTCATAGGCTTAATGTTTTAGAAGGTGTTGTAAGATGGGTTAATAGGTCAGCCAATCTAGAGGCTGATGCCTTAGCTAAAGAAGGAATTGGCTGATTCTATTCTAGTCTTATATTTCGGGTGTTTTATGGTTGTTTCAAGTTTATTTGGTTGGTGGGGTGTATGATGGTTGTATCTTATGTAATTTTATGGTTCAATAAAATCCTAAGGCGCTCTTTTCCTCCTTCCACTGATTAAGGAGTTCATATAAACTCCATTAATCAAGAAGGGGGTTTTTAACGAGGCCTGAAATTCTTATCAAAAAAAAAAATTGTGCTTTTTCATGCCTGATAAACTATGTCACGAGAGTAGTTTTTCTGTGTTATAGTTATGAATTTTATGTCTTATAGTCTTATATTAACTGTGCTAGGTCAAGATACAGTAGTGTTTCTAGATGTAATTGAAGTTATTTTGTTGCCTCACTGCATGATATATGGATCCAAATAGGATGTGGGCCAAAAAATAATGATGTTCATGCAACAAAGCAAGCGGGAATTATGTATATTGTCTGCTTCTGGTACGATCTCTAATGCATCTCTCCGCCAGCCGGCAACATCGGGTGGTAACATTGCTTATGAGGTGACCACTCCTTTCTCCCCTTCTGTATTATTTTATATCAACTAGACAACTTCTTGTTTATATGTTCTAGGATTTTTAAATTGGAGCTTTATTTCTAAAATAATAAAATGTGCTTTTAAGAATATGAATAAAGTTTTGCTAGAAAAACCCTGTTACTTCTAAATGCTGGAAGTGGATTTGGTGTGATGATCTAAAAGTCATTTAGAAAATTTGTTGTTTCTTGTCAACAGAAAAGGATTCCCGAGTTTGTTACTTGGTAGAAATTTAATACAAACTAAATCATGGTATAAAGAATTTTATGTAATCTTAAGCATAACGGGAAACTTCTACTTGTGCTTGCTTAGGACACTAGTCCTGTAATATTGGTTTGCTTATGACAAATAATTGTCCGTATTGGGGAAAAGGAAAATAAACCAACTGGGTAGAATCTTTGTTTGCAGTAACTCATTATAAGTACGTTTATGATTTCACATGTATGAGATGTGGAAACGATATGTTATGATGCCACTGCAATACTGATATGCCTGAAAAGCTCATTTTTTGTCTCAATAGTATTTCCCTTTTCCGGTCAATGCTTTCATCCATGAGAGAACTTGTTGAAACTT